CACACACACACACACACACACACACACACACACACACGTATGTATTATGTATAGTTGCGTTTAAAAGAAACTTGAAAATGTAATCGTCCAATCATCGTGTTAAAACGTTGCACTAACCACTCATGCAGCATACTAATTTAAAAGTAAATAAATTCTACATAATCTGACATATTTAATAATTCTTCTATGTTAAAAGACGTCCGAGATATGGTCACTTAAAATTGACCTTAAAAAAGCAGGCTCGGCAAAACTGTGCAAAATCTAGAAGAAAAAAAAACCCCTCGTAAAATTGTCTTCGTGCTTGTTTTGAGGAGCATCAATATTGATAAAAAGGAAATTTATACATTGCATATTCAATCAATGGAGCTTTGTCTGTACTATATTTATACAATATTTTATAACGATTGTTTCAGACAAAGCGGAAAACAAAGCATTAACATTAAGTGTGCTTATTATTATTATGCTTAGGAGCCATTGGTTTTGTATGAGCACGAGCCCTTTGGGAATCGACTCCACTACATTAATTTGGACATTTATCTATCGTTTCATCCCAAATGTCACAGAGAGGAGAGGAGCAAACAAAGGGTCTGAATTGGGAACAAAGTCGCTTTTCTTCAGCTCCTGTTCAGTAGGACTTCACATACCAGTTGGCTCCATACAGGAGTTATGAAGTGACCCCCTCCAACGTTGATATGGTTTGGCTTTCCAAGAATTGTCTTGTAACATTGTCCTTGCTATGCATGGAAGCTTATTTGAATTACACCATGACGAAAATAAAGGTAAGACTTGACGTTCCCGCACTTGCGCGATGTAGTCGCTAACCAAACCACCAGGTGATTCTCACGAAGGTGGCTTTGTTCATTCCACCCCAGACCACTCAAAACCATGGCAGTTTCGTGGCCTCTGTTCCTCACTGACAGATGATTATGTCCAAATTCTATCCAACACAGCCCGTGTGCAAAAAAAAATATTTCGTGTTCTATAGGAAACCAACAGCTCCTAAACAAAAGTAAATTATACTAATGAGCAGATGTAATGTTAAGTCCAGGTCCTGCGTTGTATTTGCGACTGCTCTGTTTCCCAATCTGTTTGAAAATATCATCAGAAGATGTTGTTCATTGCAGAGACAATAATATTCTCTTTTCATTTGATACGCAATAATTGTCAATTCCTCCAACATTGATGCACCTCAATATACGCGGTTGCTTTGTTGTGTGTGGTCAGCTGTAAGTCTACTTTAAATTTTGCCTTGGTGAGGTGCCACGGAGGGAGGTCGGGGAAAAGACATTTTTGGATGTCTTGTGTGGAAAAGTGTATGTTTTTGAGGCCCTCAAGGACTCTGACGCCGAAGGGTTTGATGAGTTTTTCGTTGTTTTTGAATTTGTTAAAGGTGTCTGGGTTTGTTCTGAAAATACATTTGTGTGCTGGGTTCTCTTTTGTTGAGCTTTGTTTAATTGCGTATTGTAGTGAGACTTGTGTGCGTCAGAGTGTGAGTGACGGTACGTTTGTCTCGGCCTGGAGGCTCTCCACTGGAAAAGTGCAAAATGCCCCCAGGGTGAAGCAAAGTCCTCGGTTTTGTACTGGGTCTAGCATTTTGAGGACGTGGAATTTTGCCGATCTGACAGCCGTTGTGAAGCCTGGATCGGACAAGGGAAATGTATTGAAGGAGAAGGTGTTTTGAGTCCCCGCCCCACTTCGGATGCGATAAAATTTTCAAAGCGTTTAGCTCTTTCTGGCACTTCACACGAATGTCTTTTGTGTGTGGAATGAATGTGAGTTTCTTGTCAATTGATATAATGCCGAGGAAACGAGCCTGATCCTGGACTAGATTTTAATTATAATGTCAATTGAGCAAGGACGTTTGGAATAAATTCCGCAAATTTAAAACTTCTCAGGCGAATCGACGGTAAGGGGTTCCGAGTATTTGCTGCATGCTACACTCTGAAAGGTGCCCAGGACTTGGCTGCCCAATGCTCTGATCGCTTGACCACTGTCCAGGTGGATATCTCCTGTACCGAAAGCGTGCGAGAAGCAGCTGAGATTGTCAAATCAAAGCTGCCACCTGGTAAAGGTAAGGTTTCTGATGTTTAGTTGCCCGTATCACGTGAGTTGTGAGATTCATTGTACCTTGGCGAGAGAATTAGTCTGATGTAAGATAAGATAAGATAAGATAATACTTTATTATCCCACAGGGAAATTTTTCTTGGCTGTACAGGACCGTAAAAACACGTGAAGATATACATTTAAAAATGTAAATGATATATTATTACTTTCATTAAAGTTCAATATGAAAAGAGAAGGAAAGCTGACAAAATGTACATATCACATCAAATGCATCAGTCAGCCTCAAGCAGGAATTTAATTACAAGACCTTTGGAGTTATATAGATACATACTCTAAAGAGTAATATACACCAATGCTTATTCTGACAATAGCCTTATGCTAGATGGTAAAAAACTTCTTTTATATCTTTCTTTCTTTGTTTTTAGAGGTACTTATCTGCCGTTGCGCGATCTTACAATATTTGCGTTTAAAGGTGGTGTGGTGGGTCGTTTATAATGCTTTTTTCTATCTTTTTTATACTTGTGGTATTATACATTTCATCAATTCTAGTAAAATCATACCTAGGGATCTTGCAGGCTTTTTTAATGGCTTTCTCAAATTTTTCTTTATCTTTCACCCTACAATTCCCAGCCCAACAGCAAATACAAAATGATAGCACGCTTTCAACCATAGAATGGTATAAAAGGGACATAATGTTATTATTAACACGGAAACATCTTAGTTTCCTTAAAAGGTACATTCTTAGATTTACTTTTTATGCACAAGAACAGCGTGTGGATGCCAGTCAAGTTTGTTATCAATTGTTAAACCAAGATACCTGTAAGAGCTTACCACCTCCACCTCCTCATTTTAACAAATAGTTGTTGCAATGTTTGCGCCCCTCTACATTTGCGCAAGTCAAACATTTGCTGGGGCGCTCATATGACCTTACACAGTTGCTAGCGCCGTAAAGCCTACTAAAACTTTAAAAAACTTTTTAAAAGCAACAACATTAAAATTTGCTGCATATTCTCCTCTGCAAATAACCGTACAGTTTTCAAAGAGGCAATAAAATCCATAATGTTATGATAGCCTAGCAATGTTAGTAACTTTACAAGTACATGTAGTTGTAAAACAAATAAACCGACAAGGAGAATTCTTTCCAGTGGATGGCCCAGGCTCGAATACTCAAAGGGGCATTCGAATATGGGTCTGTCCTATCCGAGATGGATGCAATAAATAATAATAATAATAATAA